CTGAAAGGAGAAGAAATTATTTAATTTGTGGAAAATAATATCATATCTATTAGCATACAAAATATACATATTTTGGATTTAGCAACTGGGCTAAACTATAAACATTAATATATAAGGACACACCTAAATAGTAGTTATGTTTAATTCAAAATATTTGTGGGGAAAAATTAAAGAGGAAACTCATTATTTTTCATAAATAAGAGAATGGTTGAATAAATTATGCTACCATGGAATATTACATCATTATTTTTAAACATCATCTAGAAGTATTTGCTTACTTGGTGAATGGCCATTTTGTATGTTGTAAAGTAGAAAAAAATGCAACTTCCAAATTAATGTCCATAGTAAGATCCTCCTTTAGTAAAAGAAATTAATGAATACATAAATTAATCTCCATAAAAACTTGCATTTCTGTGTATTTTATAGAGTAAAAACAATGAATAAATATGTTCAGGTGATGATTAAATAGATAGATAAATAAATAAATTGATAGATGTATTTGAGATCTCAATGCTTGAATTTGTCTTTTTGTGGATCCCACTAAAACAATAGCTCTTAAACCTTTGGAATACATAAAAATCATCTGTTATAAAACAGTTAAAAAGTGAAGATTCCTGTTATTACCCTGGATATTTTGATTTAATAGATCAAAAACTCAGGAAATCTCAAGTAATTCTCTCACTAAAACTTGGCTTTCTAGAGTATAGAATCAAGCCTATTTTTTCTACACCCCTTGCCCTAACTCTTACACATAAATTTCTATATTTATTTTTGGTTTCATTAAAGAAAGGTAGACTTGAGCTCCAAATGAAGGAATGGACACTGTAAAAGGATTTTCAAGGAGAGACTAAAGTTTGTCACATACAGAGATGGGAAATGTGTAGGACCAAGACAGCATTTAACTCAGAGGAAATATATAGGAACATTCTAGGGGGCATAAGGGATCATTTGCTTGGGATTCATTGATTGTAACAGAAACTTATTAATCTGGTTTAGGCAGAAGGTGAGAATTTGTGAGGATGCAAGGATGTTTTAGGAACCTAAGGTGGAAGGTGCAGTCAAGTCTCCCGAGGGCTCTGAATAGGAGCAAGAAACGCCATGAGGCCCAGGTTACTCTTTTTGTCTTTGCTGGACTTCGAATTGCCCATCTCTGTGTCTCACTGCATATTTGGTTCATTCTTTTGCTCTTTCTGTGCCAAAGTTTTTTCTCTGCTGGTCCATACCCAGGGAACAAGTATGGCCACCCTGGTCCTGGCTATACATTAGTTCTCAGATCCTGGTCTTAAGAGGGTATGAGCAGCAGCTTTAAGCTCTTATTTTAAGATCTTAGGCACAAAGATATGTTGGCCTCACTCCTGTTGATGGATTGGATTTCACTGGTTCAAGTGCCCTTGGCACCAATAAACTGTGGCAGTAGAGAGACAGAGCCATGTGGAACAAACTAGTTGCAGGCTGCCACAGCTCTGGGTGCACTCAGTTTTCAGAGAAGAGGAATGAAGGTAGAGCACTTTCCCCCAAATATGTGTACTTCATGCCTTGTTATAGACTTGGAGGCTGGAGGGAGTTACCCAAGTTCTTGCGTTTGGCCTTTGGTAAAGTCCCTCTGTACTTGGGCTCCATGAGCTACTGATACATATTTATAATATATATGCTTTTTGTGGTTAAGGCAGTTTAAGTAGATTTCTATTATGTGCACAAATCCTGATTGAGTAGTTTAACTGGATGGTCAGTTCAGTGTCTAATAGGGCCCTACAGTAATTGATTCAAGTCTGCAACACTTGCTTCCAAACTTCCAGTGGCCAGAAAGTTTCTTAGTATTGTTTTAAAGTTTTCAAGGATTCTATTTTTGAATTCCTTATTGGTGGCTGTGGAAAAGTGATAGTCCTAAAGCAGTGGGACCTAAAGAAAAAGAGGTTAGCCTCCCCCATTCACAGTGGAGAAAAGTGAGCCCAAGCAGGAGAGGAGAGTCCAGAGTCACACAATGAATGAGTCACTGGTCATTAGGAGCCCTGTCACATGGTGCTTTCTTGTTCAAGTTATGTGTCGGGCTCTTCCTTCAATCCCTGTGCATCCTCTCATCTTTTCATCACTTACTTTCTCCACTCTGGGAATAATAATGTGAATAGCAACAGCAACATCCATGATAGCATGAACTAACATTTGGCAAGTGCCCACAATGTATTGGGCACATAAGTTGCAGCTATAACATCAAACATGCACACACACACACACACACACACACACACTTACAAACTTATAGAGAAGGAAGCTGATTATTAAAGTGTCAAATAGTATCAAGTAACACAAATAGGAGGGGAAGGGGCAGATTTTTAACTTGACTAGATTAACATCTCCCTGCCAGTAGTTCTCAGAGTGTTCTGTACTTTTTCTCAGGACCCTGAGATGGTGTGTGATCATATATTTTGGTGATGGTGTGCACATGTCTTCCCAACAGAATAAAACACATGGGTGGAAGTACTGTGTGGACTGAGGTTTGACTTATGCTGGAAAGCATATGAACGACTTGCAGATATCAAATGAGATATTCTATTAAAGCAAAGATTTCTCAAAAAACCAGCAGCTAGAAATTTGATTTGTGGATTTCAAATTTCACATTATATACCTTTATCAAACGACAAAGGTGAAAGTGTGGGACACTATAATTTCCCACAGTGGCTGAGTAAAACGTGTCCAATCCGGGACAATGCAGGACACCCCCTGTATTGTCCCGGTGTCTGTTTCCATGCTTTTGCTCCAATGTTCAGCATTCACCAGGGCAGTCGCTCTGCTCCCTGACTTGATAGCCAGACAGAAAGGATTTGTGATCCTCAAAGGGAGGTTACTGGACACTGTTAATATTTTTGTGATTTAAATTATTTCATGAACAAAAACACTCAGTTGCTCTTTCAAAAAAGGAAACAAACAAACAAATAATTGACCAAAGCAAAGCCCTCTAGTCCTCACTGTCTAGGTTAAACTGGCTCCATTCATTTACCTTTCATTTTTAGTGCCTGTTTCTAACTCTTTAAATATATTGACTTCCTTTTATTTCTCATCAAACACTTAATAACTCAACATTTGTAGGATAGAACACCAGATAAAAAGCCAATATGAGATCTAATATTTATCGAGTAACTGAAATAGAGTGGGAATAAGGTTTCTTTCAGTTAGGCTTGTTTAAACACCCCCGTGTCTGCCTTCCTAACATGTGGTCAGAGTTTACCTTGCCAACAGCTAGGACTCATCTCTCCTCTCACACTTATGTTTGACTTGAACCCCAGCCATCGAGCTACTTTGGAAAGAGCTTTCTGCTAAGGAAATAATGCACATACAGTAGAATTCCATTTCAGGAGAGGCCAGAAGCTCTGAGTCTGTCACCAACACACTTTATGATCTGGACAACTTCCCTGTACCTTCGTTTCCTCTTCTCTAAGAAGACTGAGGTTTGAGACTGGATGGTTCCAACAGTTCCACAGCATTGGCAGGCTGACACAAGTACCATTGCTCACCTCATCTAAAGAGCAATTCTACAGTCAGGCTTTCAGCATGTTCAACAGATACAGTCAGACATTCCTTTGGAGTTGCCTCATGATTCAGTCTGATGAGTTCTAAGCAAAGTAGTAGAGCATTTTCTCAAAAGATGTGGCAGAAGTCTGAGAGTTAGAGGGGCTATGGAATTATAAGATATTCAGCTAAACACTCTTTCAGGATGTGTTGTTATGTCCTATATAAGCCTTTTTTTAAAGGAAGATTTTAGATGGCTATAAGATGAACAAAGGTAGCAAGAGAGGGGGAAAGGTTATAAGTCATGAACTTACTATCACCAATGAGAAGGATTTGCATTGCACAGGAATCTGGGAATTAGCAGGATAGCTCGAGAGGGGCTTCAGGAGCGAAGGGAACTGTGAAGCTCTCAGAAAACCATGTTCCTATTAAGAATGTGCTTTCATGGAAAACATAAAACACCTAGTGGAAACTAAATTGGAGTCCACAGTCGGAGAACATTTAGTCACAAAGAAAAGCAGCATATCTTACCACATGAAGGAACATGGATTGAAACACTGAATTAAAAGAGTTCAAAGAAAGAGGGTTTGGAGGCAGATGAAAGTATCTGACACTGCTATCTTCTGCTTCCAGCTGCCCCAGCCAAGGTCTTTGGGGGGACATTGACATGGACTTTAGTAAAAAACATCTTCTCTTCATCTGAGATCATGAGCCCTGAAGAGAGCGTACGGAGACTGCTATGGCCACCTTGGCCACTGTGCAAAGAGTCTCTATCTAGGTATAAAGACCAGGTATAGAAAAACAATTCTCAAACCATAATTTATAGAAAAATGTTGGGACAACATCACATTATTATAAAATATTCATAAGCACCTACTGTGGAGTTCAGTGGTACTAACTGAACCACAGACACATAGCCAAGAGGTTGCAGACCAGCAGCAGTCCACAGACCACAGTGAGGAGCACTCTGGTAAAGCAGGGTGAAGAGACGAAAAGAAACAGCTTCCTAATCATTGTTGAGTACGGGATCTGAATCTATCCATGTTTTCATGCCCAAATGAAAACAACCCTAAAATGGCTTATATGAGTTGCTTAATTTAGTTCAAGTTGGGTTTCTATCACTACAAACTTGAAACAGTCTTGGCTAAAACACATGTTTAAGATGTTGCCAATCATTCTCCTCAAACTATGGCTGGTATTGTTAATCCATCACAACATTCTTTCCCATAATATTCAAACCCAGCCTCAGAGTCCCTCTAAACATAGTATTCAATGCAGCTTTCAGCTGCTAATCAGAGTTTTCAAAGACATTTAAATCTACCTAGGATTCCTAAAGCCCTCTTCCTGAGATCTCACATTTAGTAAGTCCTTGCCTTTTTCTTTGTTATATCATATGTTTAACAAAGCAACTCCTTGCTGTCAATGGAAATGCCATAGATTTTGCTTCTTATCTAGACAGAAACCAAATAGCATCCAATGGCAATTTCAGCTCTTACCTGTCTCAGATCATACACACTTAAGACAATGGAGAGAACAGTCAAGATGATGATGGCCACAGAGTATTCTATGTAACCTTGAGACAGCCACAAAGTTAAGGTAAAGGCTTGGAACACATAAAATGGATTTAAAACCTGCAGGTACAAAAATAACATTTAGGTCACTTGCATGGAACTCAGCAGCAATTGAGATGATATCATTTCTTTATAGAATGACATTTCCCATATTTTACAACACGCAACAGCCTCTGATATTTAAGAATGTGTGTAGAACCCCATTAATTTTGGTGGAGACAATGTCAAGCACAAAGAATGTAATGTGGTAGAAACAAAATTATTTTAAGCACTCAAAACCATGGCCACAGACTGATCACTCTTATTATTTTGAATTTTCAGAAATATGTTACCAATCAAAAAATCCAACAACTTACCTTTTTAAACAGATTTACCCATAGTGCTGAGGAAACATGATTTAGGTTACTCTAAAATCCAACTTCGATTTTGAAGATTTTTATTGCAGTGTTTTTTTTTTTCTCTTTACGTATCACATACTGTAGGTTCCGTCACATTGTACAATAAAAATTAAAGAACCTACTTTTATGCAGGTCACCTTTTAAAATAACACACTGGTATGTCACAGGTCTTAACAAGATCCCCTGAGAGTCAGCCAAGCCAGCATAGGCCTTCCCTTGAACAGGAAGAATGGTGAAGAGAAAGGTCTCATCCCAGCCTGAAGCAAACACCACAAGCAGAACGTATTGCCAGCCTCAAAGCTGGCCATCCAAGCAGGTAGTTTTTGGTAATATGCTCCAGTTTTTTCACTCCCTCATTTCCCCACGTTCATCCTACAGACTTCCCTGTTGATAATGGTAGCAGAGAGGGCACCCTGACGCGGGGGAGCATGGGATGGTCTCAGGACATAGACAGGCCGTGAGAATCGAAGAGCCCATCTGAGCCGAGCAAGGACCGTCGTCTTGGTGAAGGGCTCTTTATGGGGGTTATGAATTACATGAAATACCTAACACCAGTGCTGTTCTCTCTTACCTCTACTTTCTATAATTCTCTAATTATTAAATAAACTTTTATTTTAGTCCTAAAAATGAACTAATATCTAGTTAATATGGTAATAGCTTGTAGCTTAAGAATTTCTTAAACCCTCGGATATATTTTGTACATTAAAAGAGTTTTTGTTCTTTAATGGTTCTTATTATTTCCATTGCACCAGGTTTTCCTTACAAATTATAGCTTTTCTGTTTGCTTGGCATAAAATGCTCTAATGGTAGATTATGCACTAATAATAATACAATTTTCAGTTTCATACAAACTCAGTAGAAAATTGGTTAAATACTTCTTGTAGAAGAAATGGCACCATCATAATTAATGCAGTGCCTTTATTCAATATTCTTTTGAAATCAAATGTGAAAAAACAGTGTTCTTCTACTAAAGGCCTGGTAAATTTGTGCCAGAAAATACCAGCACTCCTTTGAAAATACACCAACTGACACCTGGGAGAGTCTCTGGCAATTTGAAAATGTACTTGAATAAGAAGTTGGAAAAGCAGCCTGCTTTTCCGAAGTGGCAAAGACTATCTCTGTGGGGACGTGTGTTATATGGGAAATCTCTGCACCTTCCACTCAATTTTGCTATACCCCTAAGAGAAAAAGCCTAACAAAAAAATTTATTTTATAAAAGATGTGACCATGTTCAAAACTGAAGTGACCATCTTTGTGGACTGTAACTAGACTAGAAATATGCAACTGAGTGGGGGCTGATGTGATCTGCCTACTGGGTTCCAGACAAAGACAAAGAACGATCACTGGAAGCTTAGGTCTAGGGGAAACAAGACAGAAGGTGTCCCATGAGTGGCAGTGGATAGAACCCAAGCTTGCAGGGAAAAACAGGGGTAGCAGTGGGATCCTCTGCTCAAGAGTAGAGGCTGAGGAAAGTCACAACAAGCAGTGGCTCACCAGTGGAGAATGAAGTAGGAGAGAACAGAGCTGGTGGTGCAATTGTGAACTTCTCTAAGCCCCAGCCTGGTGCAGAGCCTGCATCTAACAGGGTGATCCCCAGAGGGCAGAGCCCCATCTCCAGTATGGATTGAGTTCTGAGCTGGGGACCTGAGGGAACCCCCAGTAAATGGCAAGGGCAGAGCCATCAAAGAGGGAGGGTGAGACAAAAATGAAGGGGGAAAATCCTATTTGAGGTGAGTTTAGCAAAAAGATAAAGTAACTTCAAAGCATACAAAGAAAATACTAAAAAAGTAAGTTAATTAATTAATTTAAATCCCTGCTAATAAAGGAAGAAGTCACTCTCAGGACATGGAAACAGCAGAGAAATATAAACAAGACCTAAATAAAACATCTAAAATCCTCAAAGACATCATAGAAATCATAACATTGCCCCCCTACCATAACCACCATCAAAAACTTAACAAAAACAAACAGGAAATTATGAAATAGAACTCTTCCATCACATAGGAGTTGATTTTAAAAAATAGATTTGAATTTAAAACAAATGATTATTTAAAAGGACCAGTTAGAAACTCTGGGACAATATATACACATATTTTTTTTTTAAATAAGGGAAATCCCAATAGGTAAGAAAAACGTAGGCTAAAGGCAGTTGGGGAACAACAAAAAGAATTCACATAAAATGCAGATTTTGCTCACATCAAAGAACCCACATGTTGCTTAGGATTCCCCTGAGCAGTAGAAAGTAAAAAGTATAGGATGGGGTAAGAAGAGACAGAACTGAATGTTTGGAAAGACAGCCAAAGTAAGCTGTTTAAAAAATAAAAGATAAAAAGGCTCTTGTAATGGTCCATTTTATGTGTAAACTTGGCTAGGCTACAGTGCTCAGTTTGTTCACAGTGGACTGCTTGTCCCTGTGAAGGCATTTTGTAAATGTGATTAACCTTTACAATCAGTTGACTATAAGTAAAAGAGATTGGCCCTGATAATGTGGGTGGGCCTCATTAAATTAGTTGAAGGCCTCAAGAGCAAACACTGAGATTTCCCAGGGGAGAAGGAATTCTTCCTCAAGACAGTAACACAGAAATCCTGCCTGAGTTTCTCGCCTACCAGCTGCCCTTCTCATTTCAGCCACAAGACTGCAACACCAACTCTTCCCTCGCTCATGGACTCCACCTGCCCTACAGATTTCAGGCCTGCAAGCCCCACAGTTGTGAACCGACTCCTTAAAATAAATCCGCATATATCCACCAAAAAAAGTAAAGAATGGGAATGGATGGGAGCTTCCCTCCCACCCCCCAAAAAAGAAAAACAAACCGTTAGTAGTTACCTGTTTAACAAGGAGCTTCCATATGGGCTGGATTTCGACCTCAATGGCATTGGGTCCACACACTAGTCTTCTGCAGGAGATCGATCGTCTGTTAGTGTCACATCTACAAACTCGTGAATAAATGAATACAGGCCAAGCAGAAGTCCCTTGTCTATCTTTTGGGGGATTTTGTGCTTTCAATGAACAATTAATGTGTAAACCCTAAAACATTAGTATACTTTTAAAATGAAAGTCAGTGGGTGAGGAGCTAAGTTGTTTTCCTGGTTAAAAAAATATCTTAAGTATAGTAAGTATAGTATAACTCAAGAGCCAAAGTAAAGTTAGAAAGGTATTTTGCATTGTTTTTTAAAGAATTTTATTATACTCCAAGAGCAGCTAAAAGAACCCAGATATGAAGATGTTCCTAGAATGTTCAGGCATTCTAGATTGCTCTTGATGTTAGAGGTCATGTCTATCTTACCTTGGTAACTCCAGCACCTTAGTGACAGGCCCTTGGGATATGAACTCAACAATACGTGAGTGAACAAGCTAACAAACCGGAAGATCATATATGGTCTTCATGACTAACACCTTGTAAGTCCACACATACGCACATTACAAAGAGGAAGCCCTCATGTTTGTGTCGCACTTTACAGTCTACAAAGCTCCTCTGAAAGACTCTGTCATTTGGTCCTCACAATAGTTCAAAACAAAAAAGGACTAATGTCCCCATTTTGCCAAAGAGAAAAACCATTCAGTTTGCATGTTTTGTCAAAGGTGAATAAATCTAACATTTATCATGACAGTGTGACTTTTAAGCAGAGATGACAGTGTCAGACCTGTGGTGAGCCTTTTATACATTATCTCCTTTAATCATCATGTTCTCCCGTGGGGTTGTACATTACCATCTTTATTTAAATACGACTGAAGTTCGGGAAAACTAAGTAATTTTCCCAGAATCTCAGCGCTAGGAAGAAGCAGAGCCACACATCACAGCGTGTCTCTGGGACTCCACCTCAGGGAAGGAAGACTCTGCCTCAGGGAAGGAAGGCCCGGAGGTCAAAATCTGCGGGATAGATCTTTGGTCTAAGGTGTCAGAGGGAGTAAACCCTAGTTTGTCTGACTTCTAAGGCTTGTTGCTCCAAGTACAATTATTACTTGCAGTGGTCAGAGAGAACTCAGTCCAAGGTCCTCTGACCCCATGCCATGAGCACACTGAGCCTCAGGGATGAGGTCAAACTGCACGTGCTGCTGTTTGGCTTCACAAGTCTCTAAACCTCACACTGGGAAGAGACCATCACTCAAGTCACTTTGGTGATTAGGATTCTTTTCCAGGATCTGTGAAAATACCTTGTTGTTGGCCAAGGATCAGAACTTCTCAGAATCCTGAACTTGGTCTTCTCTCATTCTTTCTCTGCTTAGAATGCCCTTCCTACATTCTTCACTTGAAAATGCCTTCTCAGCTTTTGAGAGCCAAATCTGACAATAAAGCCTAGTGGTTGGAAAATTCGAGATTTAACAGGCTTGGGTTTGAATCCAGCCAAGACTTTGTACCTGCTACTTTCTCCACATGGAACGAGTTCCCCCCACATCGTTACATGGCTCACTCCCTCACCTTCATTCAGGTTTCTGTTCAAATAACACCTCTCTACTGGAGCCTCCCCTAATAATTTTGTTTAAAATAGCTACCCCAACCCCCAAGTCACATTCTCTATATCTCCTTAACCTATCTCATCTTTCTTTAAAGTGCATTTGATAATCTAAAATTACATCTTACCTTCTTACAATTAATAAGCAGGCAAACAATAGACTGTGCCCTCCACTATAATATAAGCTTCTATAGGACATTATCAAATCCTGAATGCATAAAACAGAGTCGAATACATATCCTACATTCAAGAATTATTTGTTGAATGAACGAATAGATGACTGAGGGGTGAGCCTTGGTTCCTTATGTATAAAATGGATTTGATAATACATGCCTAATAAAATTGCTCTCAATAACATGTGAGGTAAGTATGTAAAGCATTTAGCACAAGTGTCTAGGACATGACCAGTTCTCAATAAATAGCAGCTATTGCCCTGGCCAGGTAGCTCAGTTGGTTAGAATGTCACCTCAATATACCAAGGTTGCAGGTTTAATCTCTGGCCAGGACACGTATAAGAAGCAATCAATGAATGAATAAGTAAATACAACAACAAATCAATCTCTCTCTCCCTCCCTCTCTCAAAATAAATAAATAAATAAATAAAAGTTTTTGTTTTTAAATAGCAGCTGTCTTTGAAGTCTTTTCTACTCCCTTAGGCACAACTAACCATATTTTTCTCTCCACCAAACCACCCTTCTTTTCTTAATAACAGCATGTGCCTCCTTGAATCATTACCTATAATTATGTCTTTCCCCTTAAATTTCCTAGATATTCTTCAATGGCAAGGATGGAGCTCTTTCAACTCTGTGTACCTAGCATCTAGTGGCACAGCATCTGACACAGAATGTTCCTTAAATATTGGACTTAATCAGCGAGGATTGTCTCTTTGTGACCCATGTCTACCCTCTCCCCAACAGGGCTGACACCAAGTTTACAGAGCTGCAGCAGCACTCAGGCTGTGCAAAGTCAGTTCAGAAAGGAGCGAGGCAAAGGCCTGACGCACTTCTGCTTTCTCGGGGTGGTGAGATGGTGTCTCACGGTAATCTTAATCCATTGAGCCTCATCAGCCAGGGCTGGTCTCTAGTTCTTTAAATTTGATCATTCAGTCATGTGTTCATTCATTTATCAATTTATTAACCAAATAATTGTTGAGAATATGCCATGTGCTAGACACTTTAGGCTCCAGATGGAGAAGACCGGAGTGGTCCTCAAGGGACAAGGACTGTGTCAGAGCCGCTGATGAGCTCTTTCAAGCCACACATGACTGCTCTGCTCCCATCCTGGTGAGCCGCCAACAGAGGGGAAGGGAGGTCTGTAGTCTTCCAGACTGTTAGTGCTCTGCCAGGGGATCCTGGCACGAATTCTGGAATTCTTAGGGAACAGATTTACAGAATTTAAAGAAATTTCCCAGGCATGAGGATCTGGAAAGCAGAGGACAAGGAGGACATGGGGTGTAGGTAGGTGGGAGCAGAGAAAACCCAGGCAGGATCTTGCCAGAGAGACCCAGGACTTAGGTTTACTGGTGACATCGGGGGCCTTTGCTCTAGACAGGGCATTGGAGTTAAGTGATTTTATACATTGAATGGATCCAGATCCATAGACCCAAGAATATGGTGAATATAATTTACTTTTTAAAATGTTGATCCCAGTGGTTCATTTCATTTGTATTAAATGCCCCATTCAGATTGTAATATTTAAGTCATTTATTAACTACCAACTGAACACTAAACACTGCCTCTCTCCTCTACTCCAACCATCCCTTCCTTCCTCTCCCTAAGCACTGGCCTGATGGAAGAATGTCTACAGTAGCAGGGTTTTCCAGGGATGGAGCTTTCAAAGGGGACAAAGGTCATAGTATACCAGCATGACTTCTTTTCTAATCTGGTTCCCCAGAAGACCTGAAGGGTGAGAAAGTAGGGTCTCAGAACAGCCCTAATCTCTTTCTCTCGCCTGCTTCCCTTCTGATCCTTCTTTCACTCTGTTTCAATGTCTCTCTTCTCCTGAAGTTTCCACCAGTTTGGAGCTGAGCATTAATGGAACTTCCTCCTCTGATACTAACAGGCGTGCATTTTCACTCAGTGTTGTGACAAGTGCTGAGGACTAAGGTTGGCCCTGCAGAATCTCTGAGCCTATGGTGAGCACCTCTCTCCAGCTCCAAGCTCAGTGACATCACACCAGTGGCTTGAAATCAGCCATGATTGGAGAAGTCGCATTATAGAAACTGGCCATCTCTACCCATCAAAGGTTTTCTTCCCCCCCGCCCCCGCCAGAGAGCTGGGTTACCAACAAGGTAATTTGTCTGTAGTTAATGCCATTAGGAGGTGCCTGCTATCTCCTCTGTCAGAAAGCCCCCTTCTCTTTTCAGGAGATTAAACAAAGGAAGTCAGAGGAGGGTGTCCTGAATAAAAAGAAGCTGAAGAGATCCTCAATTTAAAAACTATCCTAATAGGAAGACTGTTGGATGACTGGGGAATGAGATGGGTTTGTTTTTCCATAGGACCCTGTTTCCATGAGATAAGAAAACTACCTCAACTGTCCATGGGCCTGTCTAGGACAGGGTCTAAGAGGGAAAGCTGCACTGAGTTCATGAATGAGTGAAGGTAGGAACAGAAAGCATCCTGGAACAATCTTCCTTTCTTTCCAATGCCCTCTGACAGTTTCTTTCCAGGATAAACGTAGCTCTCATGATGTCCTGATTTGTCTTTTGCTACTAAAAAATGAGAACTATGTAAATCTGTGTATTTTTCCTGTTTTCCTGGCTGCTAGAAAGCCTAAAGAGAAGGTTGTAGTTAAACTCTGTGGCTTTTCATCATCGGAAATTTTTATGTATTTTCCTTTTTTTCTTCACATCTCATGCCTTTACTTTTCATGCAAGCAAGCTCAAGGAAATTAACATCACTCAATCCATCATATTTATTTTTTTAAAGAGTTAATCTCACACTGAAAAATAAGGAAAAATTGGGGGGAAAACACTCCACATTCTATTTACTATCATTACCCTCTAAATAGATGAGCCCATAAAATAAAATGCGTCTGCATGTTTATCAGTATATTATCCCCTTTATTCTTCATATTTGAAAAACTATACTCTCTGTCTTGCTTATTAGATTGTCAAGTTCTTTATTGTGTAGACCAGATTTAAATTTAATTATGTATGATGTTTATTAAAGCCTGGCACTTGATGAATAAGGACAAACACGAGGTGGCTGCACTGATGGAAATCTTTCCTGCAGAAATGCTTTTCCAGACAGTATCTCTACATTTATCAACTAGATTTCCTAAATGCCCTAGATCAATCTTTTAAAGTCTTGTGCTTAATGCTTCTAAACCAATATATTTTTAATGACTTTGAAAACTTCTTGTATTTCAATGTATTAAGCATTGAAATCTTATATAATGCTACCATTTCTATGGCATTTTGCAATATTGTTGCAGTCTAGATGCTTGCTTCATTTTTTTTCATTATATTCAGGCAAAGACAAAACTTAAAAACAACAGATCGGTAATTTTCAGACTTGGTGTGCATCAGAATTACGGGGGTGCCTGCTAATTATGCAGAGTTTCTTCTCTCATCACTACCCCTAGCGCCTACCCACTAAATCAGAACTGTGGGAAGAGTCTAAAAACCTGTATTTTAAGTACTGGATTGTTCCTTAACTTGTGAAGTAGTGTTTCTGGCTGACTATAAAGAAGGTCAAGCAGATAATGTCCTCAAAATTGGTCAAGAGATGAAGCTGATTATTAAAATTCAGGGGAAAGCTGGCAATTGTTTCCTTTCAGATTCATCAGGATTCATCACTTCAAATTACAGGTGAGGAAAGTGAGGATTCTAGGTCACTGTCAGTTAGTGAGTAGTATAAGCATTTTCATTCCTACTACTATTGTTTCTTAACCTATGTGCCCCTAGACATGCATGCTCCCAATTGTACAACAATTCTTTACCTCTCTTTCCCACTAGTTAGTAAATGTCTTTTTTATCCCAACATCCCTAGTGTTTTGCGAAGTATGAATCAGGCACTGTCCTAGAGGTGTGGTGAATGCTGTGGTGAATGACACAATTAACTGAACAAACAAAATCCTCATCTCCAAGGGCTGTTCTTTAAAGTAAAATGCAATCAGAATATTGTCTTTTTCTAAGGATTTGAAGGATTAAGAAGCTGATGTTTATGAAATGACTCCAGATCTTTTTGAGGAAAAAAATTCAAAAGACAACACAGAGAAAACTGTTGTACAATCTTGAAAGAAAAGATCAAATGTTATTTGATTGCATTGTTCTTTTAGTCTTTTCTTTTTAATAAGTTTGCCTATGATGTAAATAATTTAGAATATCTTTCCTGATGTCAGTAAATGAGCTGGGATGAGATGAAGTTGATGAAGCATTATGCCAACAATTCACTGATCACAAGCCGTATGATGTTTCAGTTTCTGCTAACAAAGTTCACTCCGGGATTATTGCAAACCCTACCTGATCTCCTGCTCTTCACTGGTCAGACCCAGTCCGAACATGTGATGGATGTCGTAGCAGGAGTGGCTGTCTTCCAGCAACCTGGGATGTGGGCAGGACAGGAACTACACTTCAGTTCACCTCATACAAGTCAGTGTTCTTCCCTTATATCCTGACGTAGAACCCAGTACAAGCTGGACTCACCCAACTTTCTGAAACCTCTTCTCCAAGTTGTCCCAAACATACTTGATTTTCTGCACTTGGATACATCGTAGCTGCAATGACAGACACGATAAGATATCAGTCATTCACGAAGGGAAGCTCCTCTGGGAAGGGGAGGGCTGTGCAACACAGGTCCCGCACAGCTCTAGCTTTCCCTGACACGTAGCTGTGATTCCTGCCTGGTCCAGTGGTGCGAGATCCAAACTTTCATTTAGCAAACACTCACAGTACTCTTTTCTAGCAAAAGTGTACCACGACAATGCACTCTCACAACTCACTTACTTTTAATTCCGGTTTCAGTACAGCCTGATTTATGACAGAGTGGTGGTCAGCTACGAGGGGCCGTTCCGGGTTTTTGCTGATAGGAAACTTCAGTGTGGATAAGTAGAGACAGATCACCTTCTTCCTCGTATATCTCTGAAATTCATCCTAGAAAAGACACTCCAGCCTGTGAAATTCTCAAATGTTATTCCATAAGGTACTCGATCAACCAAGAACCTGCCAAGTGCTAGACCCGTGATTCCCAAAGTTTGGGCTGCAGACACAGCACTAGCATTATCTTGGAACTTGCTAGAAATGCAAAAGCTTGGTGTCACCGCAGACCTACTGGATCAAGAAGCCTGGGGCTGTGGCCAGCAGTCTGCGCTTTAAAGAGCCCTCCAGGTGATTCTGATTGCACTAAAATTTGAGAACACTGTGCTGGAGAATAAAGAGAAAAATGCACTTTTCAGAAAAACTTTATATTCAGGAAATAGTTTCTGGCCCTCTTAAAATCACATACAGATGTTTAAAATGTCCAATTTCCCTCAAAATACACATTTTGAAAAGTTGAGTGATCATTCCCACGTTGTGTTTCTAAGAGTCGTCGCACTGATGGCCGCTGTTCCTGTACGATCTAAGAGCGCTGCCCATTAGCCTGACATAGTGGAAATTTCCTTAGTCTGATGTGGAAGAAATGTCCTTCGTTCCTGGGTTAGACTAAGAGATCGCAAACGGATCGCAAAGATACTATCTCCATCACCTATTTTGGGACAGGAAAAATCTTTCAGGGGTGTCCAACCTTTTGGTGTCTCTGGGCCACACTGGAAGAAGAAAAGCTGTCTTGAGCTGCACACTAAATACACAAACACTAACAAAAACTGATAAGCAAAAAAAAAAAAAGATTTTAAGTAAATTTACGATTTTGTGTTGGGCCATATTCATAGCCATCCTGGGCCGCATGTGGCCCTGGGGCCTGTGGGTTGGACACCCCTGCAAGCTCTCCCCTCTGGAATGCTAGCCAGTCAGCTGTTGGTTGTGCCACAAATGCAACAGGATAGGACACGCACGCACCGTTGTCCTTAGCAGAAGAGTATCTGCTTCTTGCAAGGGGCATGGGATGCAGGTGGCCCACACCCTCCACTGGGGCCTCCAGTAGAGCACCAGCAGGAGGGCCCCGCAGGTCAGCACCGAGGCTGTAAGGCAGAGTGCTCTGCGCAGATTGTGGGTCTGGAAACCAAACACCTCCTGGAGAGAAAAATAAAAGATCACTCTATTTTTCTCTTTCACATAAGCATACCATTTTGTTCCAAGAAATACAGACTTCAGAGGCAGGGGTGTTAACTGGAAGAGAAATTTGGCTTTGGCTGTTTGAATCAGATTGATTGCTTACAGCTGTCAGCTGATAGAGTAAAAAAAGGACTCATCTTACTACCCTGGCGTACGAGCTAGGATATCACACACAGCAGAAGCAAGCAATGGTCAGAATTATTTGCTTCTAAATACTCTTAAGAGTCACCTCATAATTTGATAAAGTGCTTCATACTTTGAATGAGTTCTACTTTCTTTAACAATAAGCTTTTAAAAAATCATTACTATGAATTTACTGGAGGAAGATGATAAAATCATGACAGAATATAGTTCACACTTAATATCCAGCTTTATTCAAATTCAGCTTTGTTTAATAATAGCATGATTGAGGAGAACTGAAAGTATTAATATCTGTACTGCTGGCTGAGCCAGTAAGATATATAAATTAAGAGACTATCTGTGGACACGAGAGGCTTTCAAAAGACAGCTGTTGTTATTTACCTGGGGAGGAACATGCTGAACAGTTCTACTTTTAGTAGCAGGTTAGTTAATATTTGTCATTCATTGAATAAAGATTTAAGATGTTGTTTGAGGGGAAAACAAATAGCCAAAAATAATATATTTGTTCTTTTTGAAGCCGATTTATAGTTTCCATCATCTACAATAAAGATTTAAAGCATTTTTTTATTTCAAAAACTAGATTTTTCAGACAATAAAATGGTATTAACCAGGGGGGTGGGGTGGGAAATAAAAGTGATTGTGTCTAAAAATACAAATTTGCAACAAGTACTAAGACAGCCCTAGAAGTTTAATGAACACAGATGATAATTTTGTACTGTAAGTCCATAGTGTGATAAATACTGTTACATTGTCAACCATGTTACATTATATAAATATATCAAAGTAACATACTATACCTTAAATTTAGACAATGCTAGTTGTCAATTTTTTTCCATAAAAACCCTAGATTTTTGGTGTATTTGGAAGATCCAGAAGGGTGCTGATTATGAATGACATTGTTACTATACTATGATTTTAGGTTCTGATATTACTTTTGTGTTTTTTTCCTATGACTCTGAACTACCATGTCCAGATCACAGAACTTTAATGTCAAGAAAAGAGGTTTTTACTGAGTTTCCATAGCACTTTGAAATAATGGGTTCTTCTGAATTTTATGCCAGTTTAGATCATGTTATAATAAATCTTTTGGCTTTATTCTTTGGGAAAGTTTTTGTCTTCATTATGGTTATTTTCATTATGTTTTTCTAATAAAGCACTGTGTGGTAGATCAAGATTTTAATAACAGTTGTTGAAAGTAATCCCTAAGCATAGTGGAAAGGTCACAAGCTTAAGAAGCAAGGATGTAAGTTGAGTCGCTGGTCTGCTAGTTATCAGTTATGTGACCAGTATTCACCCCTAGGGAATTCCAGTTTCTCCTCTACAGAGAAATTAGAAATACGTCTAATATTTCTAATATGGCATATGTATGCTCAAATCAGAAAATGTCTCCTTAAGTGCTCTGCAAAGTAATTACAATTTTGAGAGTCCCTTTCCATAGTTCTTCCACACTATCACTCAACTGAGGAAAAACGTTAAGTTTAGTGATGCAGCCCCTGTATTTGGCGATCATTCACGCTAAGGTTTAAATGTTACTTAGAAGCATGTGTTCACTCTACTTTGAAGCATATTTTTGGTTGGTCTCCTATCTTTCTAATTTTCTCTCTGATTCTATAAACCTGTTTTGATTTTACTTGTGAATTTACTTATTTATAATTTTATTAGACTCAAATAAAATGTATATGCCAGTTTATATATTATGTCAGAAATATCACTAAGTGATTTATGGGGCTTACTGCTAAAGCCCAAGTGTGTTCAAAATAGATGCAGAAGGATTAGGAATTTTAGCTCAGTTTATAGTGGAAATGACATTTGTACATGACTTTCCTTCTTTCTGTTTACATGCCCACAGCAAGCACATTGTTAATCATAATTCTGATTCCTTTTCATTCCTTGTTATATAACAACTTTTATTAAAAAAGGAACTTGCAATGCTAGCAAGGCTCCAATAAAATCACTACAGCTACATACTGCTAATAAGGTTATAAATTAGAATAATTCTTTAGGGAAACCAAAGTGACAAATTGTATCAAGAATTATAAAGATGTTTCTATTTCTTGAATCAGTAATTCCCCACTTAGAAACATACCCTGAGGAATAATACATAAAGTAGAATGTAATATATATCAAGATGTTCTGTGTAGCTTGATCTGTAATAGCACAGTTATTGAAAGAATGACCTGATGGTGTGATAAGATGTGAAACATTGAAACAACAGTCTATTGAGGAGCCACTGCAAACAAAACACATGGAGTAATTGCAGACACCTGGGACATTCCGTGATGTAATGTTAAGTGAAGAGAAAACAAAGAACAGATAGGATAGATGGAAAACAAATAGCAACATTTTGAACTTTAATGTAATTATATCAGTAATTACATTAAATGTAAGTGATCTTAATAGTATGATTGAAAAGCAAAGATTGTAGGACTAGAAAATAAGATAAGACCCACAATATGCTGTTAATAAGAGATATATTTTAAATATAAAGAAGCAGAAGTTAATTAATGAAAAGAAGCAGATAAGCCCTGGCTGGTGTAGCTCAATGGATTGAGCGTGGGCCTGTGAACCAAAGAATCGTGGTTCAATTCCCAGTCAGGGCACATGCCTGGGTTGCAGGCCAGGTCCCAGCAGGGAACACACGAGAGGCAACCATACATTGATATTTCTCTCCCTCTCTCCTTCCCTTCCCCTCTAAAGATAAATAAATAAAATCTTAAAAAAAAGAAAAAAGTTAAAAAATAAAAGTAGCAGATAGATTAAAAGGGAAATATACCATGCAAAGACTAAAAAGAAAATTGGCACAGCTATATTAATGTCAGACAAAATAGACTTTAAGAAAAAAATAGTATGAGAAAAAAGACATTTTATAAGCTAAAAGACCAACAGGAATACAACAATCCCAAATTTTTGTGCACCTATAAATGTAGTTTCAAAATATCTAAAGCAAAATTGATAGACCTTAAATCTATTTACATAACTAGAGATTTCAACACACCTTTCTCACTAACTGATAAGTAGACAAAAAAAAATCAGTAAGAATACAGGAAGTGTGAACAATCTCATTATCTAAATTGCCCTAATTAATACAGAAAATCACAGACCCAAACTGCATGATTCAAATTCTTTTCAAGTACACATAAAATATTTACCTAAATTGACTACATTATGCAATGCAAAGTATGATGACATTATAATTAAATTAGAAACTAACCAAAGAATAACTTTAAAATTCCCAAATGTTTGCAAAGTAAACAATATATTTCTAAATAACATATGTGAGTCGAATAAGAAATTACAATAAACATTAGGAAATATTTTGAACTGAATGAAAATAAAAATTGACAGTAGAGCCCCAAACTGGAAACATCTAAAAGTACAAGAGAAAAAAAAAACATTTTATGTTTCCATACAATGGAATACCACAAAACAAAAAAAAGGAATGAACTTCTGATGCACACAACATGAATAAATCTCACAGACATCACCTTAAGTAAATGAACTACATATAGCAATGTACAATTCTACCTATTTCAAGTTCGAAATGAGCAAAACCCATGACAAAAGTCATTAGGTTGTACACTTAAGATCAGTGAACTTTCTTTATATAAATTTATATAAATATACCCATTGACTTATTATTTTCTCAAACTGTTGACACTATTACAGATGTCCCCATTTCCTCCCACCCTTTGCCCACCTGAGTGTATTTTGTCAATAAAAAGTTTTAAAAAGTGGAGTGAATTTCTTTCTTAGACACTCTGTTCCAAGCAAGTAGAAGGTATTTTAATTACTGTAACAGGATTAGATTGAGAAGGGGGAAAAAAAGGCTGCATGATACCAGAAATGGGTAGGAGAGACAGAGAAGGAGAGAGGGAGAGAGAAGTGGTATCTGGGAAAACGGGAGGTGTGGAGTCCTAGAAGAACGCGGCCGCACCCTGGCGTGACGACCAGGGAAAACGGACGACCTCCACTGGAGCAGGGGGAAGACCACATCCCCGATAACTGAGACGGGGGAAGAGGTTTCTCATCATGACACTGCCCATGGCTGGGGACACCTTGATCGAAGTGTCAGCAGACTTTTGTCTGTTCAAAAATAAAGTCAAAGTAAATAAGTAAGAACTTGTACATGTCAGAATAGTTTTTAGAGATGCGTATCTCATTGAGCAAAGTGAACAGAAGCTACAGTGTTGCTTCTTTGATAAAGTGACCTCACAATCCTTGGTAAAATTCCTTCCCAGACCATTTCTCAGTTTTCCCAGAGGTCATGGTGTCAGGTATGGGACTAGAGGCTTTGGCTAAAAGATTCACAACTTTATTTGGCATTCTTTTAACCAAATACTCTTAATCAGCTGGCCAGTGTTTGAGTGATTCAAAGTTTGTGTGCTTCCACTTTGACTAGTTAATGTCAAGCATAAGTTGATTGTTCTAAATGATTAGTCTTCTGATGCAGTAAGAGTCACTGAGCTTTCTCCTAAATATTTATACACCCCTGAGAAAATCCACTAAGAAATGCAGAGTAGAGGAGGCAGCCAGGAGTAATACATACACTGTAAAAGAGGAAAGTAAGTAGAATCCAAAAGTCTCATAAACATGGAGAGACCGGGAGCAGGAGTGAGAGGACCAGAATCTCAAACCCGTTATACATGGTTCCTTGTAGTAAAGTGAGTTTTGTCACCTATTACCTACGTGACCTCAGGATTGAACTTCTCTAAGTCTCAGCTTCCATCTTGATAGTTAGGGGATTTCAATAGCACACAACTGGAAGAATAGTGGTGAGGACTAAATAAGAAGTCATGAGGGGCATCCAACCCAAGGCC